GATTCTGTGTCTCCCTCTCTCTCTGCCCCTCCCCCGTTCATGCTCTGTCTCTCTCTGTCCCAAAAATAAATAAATGTTGAAAAAAAAAATTAAAAAAAAAAAAAAGTAAACAAACATTTAAAAATTAAGAAAGAAAAATTGAAATTAATGCAAAATATCCATGGTGAACAAATACGCACGTTTTAAATAAAGACGGGGTCAGGATTGTCGCAGTTTCCTTTCGCCTCAGGGTCTGAGATCCCTCAGCAACCACCGGTCTCGGGTTTATTTAACATTGTGGTGTTTGTTCACCACGAATTTTTGGCTTTGACTATTTTAATGTTGCATTCGAATGTTATGTATCTTGATGACTGAGGCTTGTGGGGTGCCCCGGAGGCCTCACTCCCCTCCCCGAACCCTGGCGTTCCTTAGCGTCTTTGGGGCCCCTGAGTCCGCCTCCCCCAGGACCACAAGGCTGCACAGGCCAGAGATGGCCAGCCACACTCTTCTGGCTCAGGAGAAGCAAGGGCTCCCACAAACAGCAGCCCCCCACCGTGTTACTGCTCCCTGTGCACGCCTCCGCTCGGAGGTCCCCCCACCCCTCCTGGATCTGCCTCCTGGTTCCCTGGGACACGGACGGCTTGCCTCTCACGGCCCCCCCCCCTCCCCGGGCCCCCATCGCGCCCTCACTGTGGGGAAGGTCATGTTGATGACGTTGAAGCGGCTTTGCAGTCTGGGGGAGATGATGGTCCGTCCGCCCCCGGGAGGGCCCATGGCAGCCATCAGGAACATGTCCTGGAGAGCAGAGACCGGCAGGAAAGGGACAACACAGGGCACAGGAAGACGGAGGATGTCAGAGGAGCCGGATGAGGGCAGTAAGGGGAGAGGAGGGGGGCCAGGACAGCAGAAAGGGAACAGGGAAGGTGAAGGGAAGGAAGGGATTAGGGACAGTTTGTTTGGAACTATTAAAGTGACATATTTGTTTTAATTTCATTATAATCCACGTACCAAAAACAGAAAATGGAAGTAACTTAAAAAACGTTTGACTACGGGGCACCTGAGTGGCTCAGTCAGTTAAGCGTCTGACTTCGGCTCGGGTCACGATCTCACGGTTCGTGGGTTCGAGCCCCACGTCGGGCTCTGTGCTGACAGCTCAGAGCCCGGAGCCTGGCTCGGATTCTGGGTCTCCCTCTCTCTCTGCCCCTCCCCTGCTCACGTTCTGTCTCTCTCTGTCTCAAAAATAAACATGAAAAAAGATTTTTTAAAAAGTTTGACTATGTTTTCTAGACTTTGTTTTTTTTTTCCCCCCCTCTTTCTTCAGCGTGTATGTGTGTGTGCATGCGTGTTCTTTCCCAGAAACACTAGCTGTCAGGAGAGCTTCTGACCCTGAGTGCCAGACAGACGGACCCCCCCCCCCCCAGTGGGAGGGATGGAAGGGCTGCTGCCCATGGATTTGGAAAAAAGAGACAAGATGCTCAGAATCTTGTGGGTGCAGACTGCCTGGGGGTGCCCCGTAGGGGGACGTGGGGAGGCGGGACCCGAGTCAGGGACACCCTGGACGGCAGCAGGGGAGTCACGTGAGCGTGGGGAAGGCGTGGAGGTGGAGGACGGGACCCTTTGGCCACAAAGCACAGGGCAGAGTCACCGAGGAGAGTTCGCAACAGGGACTGATCATTGAGGAGCCGGGTGGAGAGGAATATAGGATCACAGGAGTCTCCCCATCTCCCGGATGCTTACTCGGATGTACTTGATGGTCTGCTTCGTGCGATCGTACCAGAAGCCGTAGTCAAGCCAGAGACGGATCAGCTCCAGGGGGGGCTGGGACCCAAACGCGTCCTTCGCCGGCATGTTTAGGTCATCCATAAAGGTGACCATGCTTTTGCCCCCAAGCGGCACATAGACCCCCTTGGTTCGCTTCTCCACCCTGCTCTCGATGATGCTCTGCACGTTATTGGACGTGGTCTGGTGGAAGGGGTACGGGGTGAGTGCTGGGGTCTCCCGGGAGAAACTCGGGGTTCGGGAGGGGCGTCGTCAGGCACTTGGATCCCGAGGGAGGGCGCGGAAGGCAGGGAGGGCCGGGGCCCCACGACGCACCTGTGCAGACATGTTGACGGTGAGCACAGACCACTGGCTGGAAGGCAAGGACTGCAGGACGCTCTGGGCGATGGACGTCTTTCCGGTCCCCACGGGACCCACCAGCAGGGTGGGATTCTGGTTGGCCACCAAGGCGCTCACCAGGTAGTTGTAGCGAACAGTGTCGACCGTGGGCACCATGATCTTGTAGAAGGGGGAACTAGGGAGGAAAGCGAACCCTGTCCAAGGGGCCTGGCCACCTCCTTTCAAACGCCCGCTTCCTCCCGCCTCCTGACGTTTATCTCCCTCAGACGTCGCCAGCCCTGCCTCCTGAGGGGCCCGGAGGCCGGGCATCCTGCTTCCGGCGTTCCAGAGCCGCCTCCTCTGGGAGCCAGCCCCCCTCCTCTGCAGCTCACATCTGCCTCGAGGCCCCGGCTCTCTGCCCACATCTCCCACCAACCACAGCCCCAAGCCCGACCCCCCACAGGCCCCGCTCTCACTTTGGGGGGTAACGCCACGTCTTAGGGAGCTTTTCCTCAAACGACGTCCAGCTTCGCATCTTGGGGTCCACAAAGTACTCGTACACCGTGTCCTAAGGAGGGAACACGTGTGAGGCCACCAAAGCCTTCTCCAGCTGTCCCCGGCCGGGCAGGAGTTTGCACAGCCCGCTGGGTGAGAGAAAGAGGGCCGGGTTGGCACGGCTGAAACTCAAGCAGAGCCTGGCATAGGGAACCTCGTGGGTGCTAGAAAAACAGGAAACGTCGGACGGCTGGGTCTGAGCGTCCTCGCCTTATTGGGAAAGGAGCCCTCAATCTCTCGGAGGTAACTGTCGATCTTCTCACGTCCCTCCTCGTCCACGGAGGCGCACACGGACCAGATCATGCTGAACACGAAGGTCAGCTCTACCATGGTCACGTAGTTTTCGCTGTCGGCTGGGTTCACCTGGATGGAACAGGAGAAGGGACTCGGTCTCCATCCGTAAGAAAAGGAGGGGGATCTATTGTGGCAAGTCGCAGCAAAAGCTTAGAGTTTTTTCCTCCCTTCCTGGTTTTATTTGGAGACACCGTGTGGTTGTAGGTATACCTAAACCTAAAGCGTTCAGATGGACCTGAAAGTTCTGGTAAGTCGGCAGCTGCCCTGACGCTCTTTGCTGCTGTGTCATAAAGGCACAGCAGTGGCGTGGCCACACCACGTCTGCCCTGAAGAAGTGCCCACAGGTGCCCTAGGACCCAGGGCCCGGGGCGTCATGGCAACTTGTCTGTAAATTGCAAAAAACGAGATGACCTAAATGTCCACCGGTAGAGGGATGAAAAAAGAAAATGCCATGCTCTACAGTGGAACAGCGTGCAAGGCTTAAAAGCAATAAAATCAATCTACGGATACTGATACAGAACTCAAACTCATATTGCTGTATGTGTACATGAGGTGTATAACATGATATGTTTTTTATTTTTTATTAAAAAAATTTTTTTTTACATTTATTTATTTTTGAGAGACAGAGCACAACTGGGGGAGGGGCAGAGAGAGAGAGGGAGACACAGAATCCGAAGCGCGGGCTCCAGGCTCCGAGCGGTCAGCCCAGAGCCCGACGCGGGGCTCGAACCCACGAACCGTGAGATCATGACCTGAGCTGAAGTCAGATGCTTAACCGACTGAGCCACCCAGGTGCCCCTGATATGTTTTTTAAATATCACATTTTCTACGACTGCCTACAGGCCTGTATGTCAATATGTATTGGAAAGGTCTGAAGTGATATGTGTACACATTCCACAGTAGTTACTCATCTAGAGGGGGTTGCAGACCAGGACTGTGAGGACAGAGATGATCAAAAACGTCTCTAGCTTAATATGAAAATTTTTATTTTTATTTATTTTTATTTATTTAAAAATTTTTTTAATGTTTATTTTTGAGAGAGATAGAGTATGAGCCGGGGGAGGGGCAGAGGGAGAGGGAGACACAGAATCGGAAACAGGCTCAGCTCAGAGCCTGATGTGGGGCTCAAACTCACGAGCTGTGAGATCACGACCTGAGCTGAAGTTGGACGCTCAACCAACTGAGCCACCCAGGCGTCCCAATTTTTATTTTTTATTTTTAAGGGGCACCTGGGTGGCTCAGTCGGTTAAGCGTCTAACTTCGGCTCAAGTCATGATCTCACGGTTTGTGAGCTCAAGCCCCGCGTCGGGCTCTGTGCTGACAGCTCAGAGCCTGGGGCCTGCTTCGGATTCTGTGTCTCCCTCTCTCTCTGCCCCTCCCCTGCTCGTGCTCTGTCTCTCTCTGTCTCAAAAATAAATAAAATGTTAAAAAAATTTTTTTTTAAGTTTATTTATCTTGGGGCACCTGGGTGGCTTAGTAGGTTAAGTGTCCGACTTTGGCTTAGGTCATGATCTCACCGTTCATGTGTTCGAGCCCCGCGTTGGGCTCTGTGCTGACAGTTCAGAGCCTGGAGCCTGCTTCAGGTTCTGTGTCTCTCTCTCTCTCCCTGCTCATGCTCTGTCTCTATCTCTCAAGAATAAATAAACATTAAAAAAAAGTCTCTTTATCTTGAGAGAGAGCACACATGAGTAGGGGAGGGGCAGAGAGAGAGAGGAAGAGAGAGAGAATCCCAGGCAGACTCTGAGCTACCCGTAGCAGAGCTTGGCGTGGGGTTCGAAACCACAAACCGCAAGATCATGACTTGAGCCGAGACCGAGAGTCAGATGCTTAACCGACTGAGCCACCCAGGCGTCCCTATATGAAAATTTTTAATTTTTAGAAAGTAAACCAGAGTTAACTATTCCTTGTGTAATTAAAAATCAAAATTTAAAATGTACCAAGTTCATAGCAGAAACAGCATGTTTATTTTTTTGTGTTTTTAAAAAAAGTTTTTTTTTAATGTTTATTTTTGAGAGAGAGAGAGAGCATGAGCAGGGGAGGGGCAAAGAGACAGGGAGACACAGAATCCAAAGCAGGCTCCGGGCTCCGAGCTGTCAGCACAGAGCCCAACGTGCGGCTTGAACCCAAGAAACACGAGATCACGGCCTGAGCCAAAGTCGGACGCTTAACAGACTGAGCCACCCAGGCGCCCCTTATGTTTTGTTTTGTTTTGTTTTGTTTTGTTTTGTTTTGTTTTGTTTTGCTTTGTTTAAGGAAGTCCTAGGCCCAGTGTGGGCCCCGAGTTCATGACTCCAAGATCAAGGGTCACATGCTCCACCGGCTGAGTCAGCCAGGCGCCCCGAGAGACAGCACGTTTAGACCCCTGGGGGCTCGTGGCAGGTACTGTTGCTGGAGCCGGGCGTGGGGCGCACACAGGGCTAACTCGGCACGGTTCACCCGGTCTCAAACGGGGTCCGTGGAAACCGCCTCAGGCCGTGCGTGAAAAGCTCTTGAGGATGGTTCTGAATGAAGACTCCGAGAATGACAGATAAGGGGACACAGAAGATGCTACCCCGTCCGGAATACCGAACACTCCTCAGTCCCAAGATGTGGGTGGGGAGCCATGCCGAAGCTCTGCCGTCCATCACAGTCGGTCCAGACTCCTTGGCCTATCCGTCCAGCTCATCCCAGCTCACGACGCGTCCCACCATCCCGCCCTCCAGGCCTCTGCACGCAACGCCGGGCCCCGCCACCTGGCCAGCCCTCCTCGGCGCCCGCGCGGCTGACACCGTATAATCGTCCTTCGTCCATCCATCACCTTGCCAGTCCCTCCACACAGGTTCGGTTTGTATCAACTGTGCCAGGAATGACATACCCTGCCAGAGGTCCTCACTGTTCTACGACCTCATGTCAAGGGTTTGGTTGTGTGGTGATGTCTTCAAAAATGATACAAACCACTTCTAGGCAGTGATTTAAGCTCAACAGACAGATATCCCACTTTGGTCCTTACTCCAGAATTCTGAACTGGACGACATTGCTCTTAAACGTCAATTAATGTGAAAATTTCCAAAGCCCCCTCATCAGATTAGGCTGGGAGCTCCTTCCCGCAGGAACAGCAGCCCAGGGCCTCCCGTAGACCAAAACTTAATATCTATTTTTTGAAAGGACGGAGAAATGAGGAACAAAACGAACTCTCCTCGGCTCCCCAACACGGGTAGGAAATTCCAGTGACGCTTCACTGTGTACCATCAGCCGTCAGAGGCCTGAGTCTGGCATTCGACCACGTGTGCACAGGCACACACAGCCACGCACGTGCGCGAGGTCAGTGAGGCCTCCTCCCCCTGGGGTCCCCGCTCCACTCAGGTCTGTGTACAAACCGCGTCTCAGACACCCCGTTCCCCGGAGTCAGCCCCGCAAGGTCACGAGCCCCCGGGCCCGGGCCCCGCTCCGCCGCCCCCACTCACCCCATTCTCTGGCGTGGCCAGGGCCGAGTACAGCTTGCAGAGGGAGATGATCCCACTGTATTCCGGGAGGGGCACCAGCTCGTTGCAATAATCCTTCTTGAAGGTCAGAATCTTGTCGATGAACTTCTCGAACATGCGCTCAAGGGGCTCGGCCTCAGCCTGGAGTCCACGAGAGAGGACTCTCGCTCTACGTCCCGCAGGCCGCACTGGTTACCCGCCCTCTCCTCACCCCAACCCTGCACACCTTCGGTCTCCTCTCCAGCCAGGACTGAACATACGGCTTCCAGCCCAGGTCAGCGTAGTCAGTGTAGACCATCCCACAGCGAGACACGGTGGCGGGAGAGGCCACGGCCAAGTTCTCCACCTCGAACAGCAGCGACACCTGAGGACACGCTGGGTCAGAGCTTCATCCTTTGGCCACCCCACCCCCATCAGGAGAAATCACTCGGGACTCGATGCCCCCAAGTGTCTCTGTCCGAGCGCCAAGCGGGGCAGGGTGATTGATGGCCTATGGCTTACAAATGACTTGCGTTTTAAAAGAATTTAGAGCTCGTTCAAGGTTAAGCTTATGGAAAACCTCTCCGTCTCTGTCTCTGTCTCTGTCTCTCTCTCTCTCTCGCTGGCTCGCTTGCATTGTGTGGGTGGGTGGGTGGAGAAGGGTGGGCTTCACAGCCGGTGAACACGTAACCCCGGGCAGTCGGCGAAGGCGGCACGGACTTCTTTCCCATCAGCTGTTCCCACCGTCCGTGGGAGACGGGTCTCCCTGAACCCAGGCAGCCTCCCCCTTCCTGGTCCCTCAGAGCTGCCCCTTCCCCCCCACCGAGCCCTGCCTCGTGCCCCGGGTCCCCAGCTCCGCAGGGCCGGCACCTGTTCGGGCATCGCGATACGCTCCCCATTGATGAGGGTCAGGACTTTGTTATCGTCCATGACAGAGTTCATGCTCTCGATCCACAGCGTGTCCACGGGGCCGTCGAAAAGGATCCACTTCTCATCGGGCTTCTCATCTTGGTAGGAGGAGGACGGTCAGGAAGCCAGGACTTTCTCCCCAGACCTCCCTTCCCACTCGTGTCCCCAGAGAGGCAGGCGCGAGCCCCCTTGTACTCAGCACGCCCCGCGCGGTCGTCTCCCAAACGTGAGACTTCCAGCCCCCCCCCCCCCCCCCCCCGCCCAACCCCTCGGGCGACTCCGGCACCTGCCGTCCCCACCCCGTGACCCTCTGGGCACCTGCACACGCCGCCCGCATGACACTGGACAAGATGCCGTCTGTCCACTCATTAGTGTTGAGGTCGTACTCCCCATACAGCTCCCCCAAGGACAAGGCCTTAGGGTTCAGGGGGAACTCCTGGAAGCGACACAGGAGGAGGTGTCGAGGTGCCGGCAGGCACCACCCCAAGACGTCGTCTTATTTCCACCCGCCCCCTTTATATCCAGGGCTCTGTGCCCGCCCTGCCTTCTCTCATCTCCCCCAGCCCTGCCCTCCTGGTCCACACCGCACCCCCCCCCCCGACGACCCCGTGCATTCCCGCCCCCGCCCTCCCTGGCCGTCCACCAGGGGCTTTGCTGTCCCAACTCCGCACCCGAACGATATTGAAGTTGGGGTCCCCGGCGCGGCACAGGGAGGACAGGGAGGACTGCAGGATCCGCCACGCGGCCGTCTTGCCGCTGCCTGTGCCGCCCACAATCATGGCCGAGTGGCGGGAGTTCTTGGTCTCGTACAGCTGGATCACCTTGGTGAGCGTGAACGGCGTGGCCTGCAGGCCCATATCGCGGGTCTCCTGCTCGATGGTCTCCCGCAGCTGAGAGAAGCCAAAAACGCAGGGAGAAAGGACGAGGCCTATAAGGGACTCTCACAGGGTCCCCAGTGCCTGGAGGCTCACGTTCAGACCGGCACTGGGTCACGTTCAGACCCCAGATATGGCACCGGGGCCCCCTGCACTCTGGCCGTGGACGGACCCAGTGTGGAGTGGAGGGACCGGGCTCCGGGCCAGCCTGCCTGGGGCCCCAGCTTCAGCTACGTGAACCCGAGAAAGTTGCCCCTCTGAGCCTCAGTTTCCTCACCTGTTAAACGGGAATAACGAGGACGCTTTCCTTGTAAGGTTGTTGCACTATCTCCCTACATTTACTCCCCCTCCTCGTCCCGGAAATGGTCTTTCTTGCCAGCTTAGCAATGCATCGACAAAGACGTCTTTCTATCGAGCATGGTCGTGGTTGCAGTAGAGAGGAGCACTCAGGGGATCTAAACTATCGTTCCAGGAGAAGGAGATCTCTGTACTTTCTAGAACCCTCCGGCCCACCCCTTCCATTCTATGGCTCCACGCATCAGCAGCTCCTGGCCGCCTCTCAGCACCCTGCCCCCTCACCTCCCTGTGAGGAGAGAAGTCGAGGCAGGGGGCACTGCTGGGCACAGAGCAAAGAGAAGGGCTCAGAGGGCTCCGTGAAGCGAGTCAGGAGGGGGGGGGGGGGGGGGCTGAAGCAAGAGAGCGGAGTGTCTGAGAGGTCCCGGAGATGAGGAAGCCCGGAGAGGTCAACCGTCCCACAGGAGGTCACGGCCAGCGGAGGGCAGAACAAAGACATTCGCTTCACACGGGAGGGTGGGGGAGGACCGGGGGACAGATACCTTGCCGTAGTCAATGACGGGCAGCTCCGTGCTGGGGAACAGATCTTGCACAATGGCGTTGAAGAGCGGCGCGTCGGCCGAGGTCAGCTTGGCAATGTTCATGTCTCGCATGGAGAGCAGCAAAACCTGGGCGGGAAAAGACGGAGCCTCGGGCCTGAGCGGCCAGGGCCTGGGTTCTCACCGGGCCCTTCCTCTCCAAAAGGGCGAGGCGCCGGGGCGAAGCTCAGGGGCAGGAACGATGCACGTTCAGCAGCACGACAGGTCACACGGGGGACAGAAGTCGGTGGGGGGGACGGGGGGCGGGGATCCCAACCGGGGACAGGACCTGGAAAGCTTCGGTGAGGGCGCACGGGCCCCGTGACGGAGGAGGTTGAGTCCCAGGGGCCGTGTCCCTGACCCACCTCTTCATCAGACAGGTCGGGCTGCAGACGGCGCTTCTTGCCGGCATAGCGCAGGAGGGAGGTGAGCGCGCGCAGGCCGAAGTCGTAATGGTCCTGTCTGGACAGCTGCTGCACGGCCAGCGAGTACAGCGTGTATACCTTCTTGGCCAGGATCTGGGGAGCCGAAACGGGGGGGAGCATCGAGCACCCCAGAAACCCTTCTCCTTCACGCGGGACGGTTACAGATACGGGAAGCCCGGCCCTGGGACCTGAGGCGGCCGGGATGCGCTCTGTGGACAATTCTAGCGGGAAGATCTCGGGACCGGTCCCAACGTGGGTTAGGGGCTTCACGGAGGGGAGACCTCTCCCCTCCCTCCTCTGAGCGCTCCCGCCCCCACATTCTACCGACGACAGCCTCCGTTCCTCGTAGGATAAGCTGACTGGGAGGCTGGGGCGCTCCTCCGTCCAGGGAATAGCCCGAGAAGGGAAGTAAGAGAATTCCGAAAGGACGTCATCGGCCTACCTTGCAGTTGCCGAAGCCCTCCCCGAAGAGAATGATCTCCGCGATGAGAGTAGAGTCCGGCACCACCATGGCGATCGGGCGGAACATGGATTTAAGGTTATCAGGCAGTTCTGTGCGCCCGGCGTAGCCTGGAAAAAAGCGCCATTTCTTAAGAGCCCAAACTACTCCCCACTCAGCCCCACCCTCCCCAACCCTGGCATGCCCCACAGTCTCCCCAACTCCGACCACATGCTCTCCCCGCCCCCCACCTCGGCCCTGGCCCTGCTCTCCTAACTGTGGCCCCTTCCCTCCTTTCCGCGTGGCCCTGTTTCAAACTCCAATCACGAGCTGACAATTTCCCATCTGTCCAAGCTCCGTGTGTGACTCACGACAGTCCTGATGGAAAATCACCGCTGTTTCTCAGACTCTTTCAGTGCCTAAACCCTTCCCTGTTTTCCCCGCGGAGCCTTCCCCCGGAGCTGTTCCCAGGGAACGAGGGTCTGCATGTTGGGAGAGATTCCCTATTTCTGGGAAAGGGATGGCAGGAAGGCCAGAACTCGGGGAGCTCGCCCACTGGGAGAAGACAGAGAAGCATCTCAGAGGACCAGGGACATACATACACACGCAAGCGGCCGTCAACCCATTTAGGGAGGACATAACATTGCCTCCCTTTCTCCCAGAAAGTCGTGTGTTTACCCTTGTCTCACACTGTGTTGTCTTTAGCCACGTCTCCCTTGGCTAAACACACCGGCCTGGAAGGGGGTGGGGGCAGACACCCAGTGCTCCCCCCCCCAGAGCCTCAGCGGCTCCATGGCCCACACCCCATACCGGGATTCATGGTGATGAAGATCCCACAGGACCACACCAGATTTATTTCAAAGCCTTCAAAGTAGAAGCGGAGGAGGCTGGCGGCCAGGGCCGACAGGATGGACAGGATCTGCTGGGCCACCACCGACAGCACCTCCACGTTGATTCGGTTAAACTCATCAAAGCAGCCCCAGGCGCCGGTCTGTGGGCGGGGGGTGGGGGCAGAGTTGCTGGGAGCGAGAGACGTACCCCCCCTCCGCACATGGGGAGACGCTAGAAACTAGCACGCCCTGCCCGGAACGCTCTGATAGGTGGAGCGGCCTCCAAAACGTGTGTGCTATTGGGGTGGGCTGGGGGCAGCGTAGCCCTGTTGTGGTTTCTGGCCACATTCCAGAACATTCCAGCAGACGGGACAGTGTCGGGGAGAGCCACAAAAGGTGTGGGTTGCAAAGGGACTGGGGCAGGGGATCTTGTGAGCGCCGAGTGCCTAGCCACGCCCCAGTTGACGTACATCACCTCACTTAACACTTACAGGATCTTTCCACTTTTCAAATAAGCAAGACTCAGCCCCGAGGGAAGCTGAGGGAGGTGCAGGGACATCCCCGACTGGAAGAGCCACCCGAGGCGAGAGGCGATACGGTGTCGTCAGCCACAAAGTAGTGAACCAGACCGGCTTTCAGTTCACTCTCTGGGGCTAAACGAGAACCCGGGGCCTCTGGGGCGGGGCGGCAGGGCACTGACCTGGGCCAGGCCCGAGTACATCCTGCCCATGGACTTATAGTCCAGGCCCTCGGAGCAGTTGACCACAATGACGTATGTGCCGAGGGCCTTGCCCAGATCCTTGACGGTCTCGGTTTTCCCCGTGCCCGCAGGACCTTTGGGGGAGCCCCCCCGATGCAGGTGCAGTGCCGTGGTCAGCGTCATGTAACACCTGAGGATGGAGGACAGGGCCTATCTGACTCCCGGGAGCCCGCCCTCAGCAGGTGCTGCCCCCGCCCCAGCCCCCTGGTGGCCGCCGCGCACAGCCGACCTGTCTGTCAGGGGGGTGATGACAAGCCGACCGGAGTTCCCCAAGTACTCGTAGCCATACTGGAACTGCGTGTTGGTCTGGCGGATCACACAGTCGTCGAGGTCCTGGGGAAACGGGGCAGAGGAAGAGAGAAGTGGGCTTGGAGCCGGACAGAGACAACGACCGAGGAGGTGGGGAGGCGGCGGTTAGGAGATTAGGGGTTCGGTTCAGAGTCTGGAGGGAAGGGTTTACGGCCCAGATGGAAAACAGGGGTGGGGGCTTCACGCCGCACGAACGCCCCGACCCACGGCAACGGCCGGCCGCAGCCTCTCAGGATCCCGGTCAAGCGAGGGCCCCATTGAGCACCGACTGTAGCGATGGTCAGTCCTGATTCGGGAGGCAACAGAGTTGAGCCGGCTGAGGGAACTGAGGCGGGACGGAGCGTTGGGGTGCCGGCGTGGCGGGGACCGTGGACTGAGCAGAAGCACCGGGCCCCCCGCACCTTCTCCCAGTAGAAGCGCAGCCGGCTGAGCCAGTCGAAGGAGCTGATGTCTGTGAGGCCGCTCTTACAAAGCTTCTCCAGCACATCCCGGGCATGAACTTCTATCGTCACCAGGGCCACGATCTTAAGCCGCGTGATTTTGGTCAAGTTCCCCCGGATGGCCTCTGAATACTTAGTCAGCACTGACACCTGTCGGGGGGTTAGGGGGCAGAGTGGGGGGGGGGGCAACTCAACCAAACCCCAACACGCCTCATCCCAGTCTCATACGACTTTCAGCTCCCGAAACGCCTGATCCCCAGCGTCCGCCAGACCTTCTTGGCTGGACTTCCGCCACCAAGCACCCTCGTTCTGACCTTGACCTCTGACTCCGGCGTTAACCCCTCCAACCCCCAGCAGGCCCACCCCATACTTGTAGGCCCCCCACCTGCTTCTTCTTCATGACCTTGAGGATCTTCTTGTCTCCCCGCTCCTTGGCCGTCAGCAAGCACTTGGTGACATCAGCCGTCCACTGGATCTGACTGGCAGTGATCACCATCTGGGGTGCACAGAGGCGGTGTCCACACCTCTGCCCCCCGCCCCCGGCCCCTTCCAGGACCCGGAGCTACTCCTGTCTCAATATCTGCCCCGAGGGACAGGCACGCGTCCAAGGGCAGGAGCTAAGGGGCCGGCGCGCAGGGAAGCCAGGCCCGAGCCCAGAACGGGGTGGGGGGAACAAGACACAAGGTTCTGCCTTTTTCTATCTGCTGCTCCCGTGCGGCTCCGTCTTTCTCGTCCCCCCACCTGCCCTGGCCCAGCTCACCTGGCCAGCCCACTCCTTCACCCACTTGTCCCTCTTGTTGAGAAACTTCTTGAGGGCCACACGGCAGTTCCGGAGAAGGTCCCGCAGGGTCACCCTCATGGTCCGCTCCACGTCGCCAAGCCAGGACTGGGGGAGGCGAGAGGGCAGAGTGGCTGGGCCTCGGGGCTGGGGACAAGCGTCCCAGAGGGCAGGGGCTCAGGAAACAGGACTCTGGGCCCGGGGGGGACAAGCAGGATCAGGCAGCCGCTGGCCGGGCCCCTGAGGGAAGCAGAGGTGAGGGGGGCGGCCTGTGTGATTTTCAGGTTCAGGGCAGAGGTTAGAGTTTTCAGGAGGCGGAGAGTGACTGATGTCCCTTCCCAGGGACGTTCCCTCCTCACGGAGCTGAGCGAACTCTCGGAGGGGAAAAGGAATCGGCCTGATGCTTCGACCCTCACCACAACTCACCTCCACGGGCCCTTCTAAGAGTACTGAGTGCAGGAAGTCCACATACTCGCCGTCACCTGAGAACATCCCCACAGCCTCCCATCTGCTGCTGGGGCCCCCAACCTGTGAAAACAGGAAGCGCTAACGGTCTGGCCTGCCCACTCCTGACATCCCCCTGGAAGGTACGTGGGCCCTTTGGGGGTGGTCTCTGCTCCTCTCCCCACCCCCCAAAATTACCAGTTCTGACAAGTCCTATCCCAGATGATCCAGAATCATGACTATCCCCCTCCTGTGTGGAGGGCACGGTCCCCTCCAAGGCCTTGACTACGGTGACATCGGCATCTGTCCCCTGCCCTCCACCCCATCCCGGCCAGCTCCCCCAACCTTCTGCATTCTCAGCAATTTGATGTTGTCAAAGCATTTTTTGAGGTGTGGCTGCACGGCCTCCGGGTTGCGGGACTGGCCCAGAATCTCCAGGAGGTCATCGTTGGACAGGAAGTAGAAGCGGGGGAAAATATGGCGCTTGGTCTCCAGATACATATCCAGAGACTTCTGAATGTCTTCCAGAATCGTGTTCATTTTGATCAGCGTGTCCAGGAGGCCTGGGGGAAGAGCAGTGAGTGACATTTGCTGGCCCTTCACCATCGCCCGGAGTAGAGTTGGGGCGTCCCCCCCGTATGCACTTTGCCATCGCTCGAACGTTGGGGGACATATTGCCATATAGCGCTCGAACGTTGGGGGACTTTCGGTTTCTGGAAGCCGAGAAGTGTCTCCGAATCACTCTATCACACTTATCCCATGCTCTTCGTTAATTCATTACCGGTGTTTATGACACACTATGATGCGTTCGTACGCCAAGCATTAGTTACACGGTGTATGTGATTCTGTGAACATCACGACGTCCCATCTCCCTACGGTCTTAGAACAACGGTCCGGTTCCTGCAAGGAATCTGGGGCTCTGAGGTCACCCCAAAAGCTTCTGAAAATTAGGAGACTGTTCTGCATGCACACAGTCCAGCATGTTAAATCGTGAGAGGTAAAGGTAGATCAGACGCACGCAGTGACAGAGGTCTGCGACCACCGGGATGCCAGTGTCCCTAGAGGCGTAGCGACAGGGGCGCTAGACCGAGGGACAGACGGCGGCCATCCAAACGGCTGCTCTTCCACTAATTAGCCTGTCGGTTCACCTCACTGAGCTTTTACCTCTTTGTCCATAAAACAATCACAACACCCACCTCAAAGAACAATTCAAGGCACTAAACAAAATGGATTCAAGGGGGCACC